TTGGTTTAACATCTCATCCGAAAGATGGCGCCCACTGACAGTATAGTGTCCCCTTCACTTTTAAGTGGGACATTAGGACTCACACAGACTACAGGTTGAGCGCCCCCTGCTGGCTTCTCTTACACCACTTCCAACAGCAACCTAGTTTTCCCATGTGGCCTCCCATCCAGGTACTGACCAGGCTCAGCCCTGCTTAGCTTTAGAGAGTAACCGTTCTTGTTCTGCAGGGTGATATGGCTGTGGCATGTGGTTTTTGGGCCGTTTGGTCTCTAATAGGATTAATCCCTATCCACAAATTGCTGTATTATGTGTGTGGTCAGTTTACAGCTGTTATTTTTGGACTGCTGAAAGACGTTGGAGATGTACATATGTTCCATATGTTGCGCGTGCTCGTGCTAAACAGCATTGCGGGGTCTGTGTTGTCTCAGCTGAAGATGAAGATGACCACGGGCTCCATCTCTGCAACGGTGTTACCTGATTTGTCTGTTCAGCGTTACCTCTTATTATCTGCCCTTATAGACAGCGGCCAACGTAAATAGGGCTAGCGCTGTTATCTGTGTCTGGCTGTAGATGGGCTGGGTGGAGTGTGCCAGACTTTCCTGAATCTTCTAAACAACTGGACGTGTTCAAAGTACAGCAGGGGACTAAATAATAAAATCGGAATTCATTATGTAAAAAAAAACAACTAAATTTAATTGTGAAGGTTGTGTCATTTGTGGTCATTCGTTTTATTTTTTACATTAGAAAGTGTTCTGTTTAGTTCTGGGGAAAGATGAATCGTGATTAATTGCGAATTCAAAATAAATGTTTGTTTTTACAATAAATGTGTGTGTTATATACACTACCTGACAAAAGTCTTGTTGTCTATCCAAGTTTTAGTAACAACAAATAATAACTTGACTTCTAGTTGATAATTTGGTATAAGAAGTGGCTTAGATGAAAGGCAAAGGCCTCTAGATTACACTTATTATACCAAAATAAAATATGATCATGCCTTGATTTTGAGTTATTTAATTAGGACAGTAAGGTCTGACTTTGCTTAGACAAAAGTTTTGTCGCTTAATAGAAATAATGTCCAGTATAGAATATAAAGTCCTGCTGCAGTGGAGACAGAATGATTATTGTGTCTGACTCCATCATGAGCTTGGAGGACTGCATCCATACATCTCTGCACTGACTCAAATCACTGATTAATAAAGTCATCTGGAATGGCAAAGAAAGCGTTCATGCAGGACTCCCAGAGTTCATCAAGATTCTTTGGAATAATCTTCAATGCCTCCTTCATCTTACCCCAGACATGCTTAATAATGTTCATGTCTGGTGACTGGGCTGGCCAATCCTGGAGCACCTTGACCTTCTTTGCTTTCAGGAGCTTTGATGTGGAGGCTGAAGAATGAGAAGGAGCGCTGTCCTGCTAAAGAATTCCCCCTCTCCTGTGGTTTGTAATGTAATGGGCAGCACAAATGTCTTGATACCTCAGGCTGTTGATGTTGCCATCCACTCTGCAGATCTCTCGCACGCCAGGTCTTCTGCAGTATTTGTGATGATTGGGATGCAGTTCAACTAATGATTCATGGGAAAAATTTACCTTCTGCCACTTTTCCAATTGATCAGTGATCGGTGACAAGACTTTTGTCATGTAGTGTATGTAAATACGATACACAATCATATATAGAAACAAACATAGAAACATAGAAGATACACATACACACACACACACACATGAATATATATTTGAGTGCTGTCAATCGATTAAAAAAATGAACTAATAATCACACTTTTTTAAAATTAATCTCGATTAATCACATTTCAAATACTGAAACTTTTAATTTTGGCTATTTAAATGTAAAATTAATGTAAACGCAAGACAAAAACTATTTAAATTCAAAATATAATTGTTCATTCTAATTTTTGTTTAACTTGTAACACAGATTTCTTCATGTAAACAACAAACCCACAATAAACCATAAAGATGCTGGCTTGACAGCCATATTTATTACAGAAATGAAAACACAGGCATGTTAATGACATTTGAATTTCAAAACAATCAATGCCAATAAAGAAAAAAAAAAATTAAGAATAGAAGTACAATTGAATACAATTGTACTCATTGTAAAGTTGTATTGTTGATAGTTGAGAACATTAATTATAAAGTAGAAACAATTTTGCTCTGTCCTCCTTTACATTCAGCCAATTGCTAAGACAGTCCAGTCTGTTGACATTATCGGGGGACAATGTGGACCTTTTCTTTTGAATGATGTGAGCTGAGAGTGCAACGTAATATCACGGCAATTCGTAACTTTTTGATTTAGAGGCTACGGACAACGACGTTCAGGCAGGTTTGTTGCTAAGAAGCATGCGCACAGAGACACACACACAACGCGCACAGGACAGGGCAGCCTTTATACTGAAACTTGCCTTCAAAAAGTGCTTCCTTCCTCTTATCCATATTTCTTTACATGTTAAACACACATCGACCACAACAGGAAAAAAAAAAACTGAAACTACGTTAATTGCGTTAGTATTTTTTATGTGTTAAATATTTCAAATTAATCGCATGCGTTAACGCACTAATATTGAAAGCACTAATATATATATATATATATATATATATATATATATATATATATATATATATATATATTTATTTATTTTATGAACAATATCTATATTTGGACTGCTTTTTTTTGCACTCTATTTCTCTGAGACTGATGCGCTGTATTTCCTCCTGTTCATTTTTTCTTTCTCTCCTTTACTTATACTGTCGTTCTAGCGCTGCATCTCCTCCTTTTGGCCTTTCTGGAAGTAATTATCCCACTGTGCTATCCCAGAATTCCTGCAGAAAGGAAGAGGGGTGTGTCCTGTGTTTCGAGATTACAGGCCGGAGTCACTTGCTTTGCCTGCCGTTTTTACTTTCTCTCTCTCTCCGTCTCTCCATCCCCTCCCTGTTTTTTTCCCCTGTCGCTCTTGGGAATTCTCCAGATGTGAAGCTCTTAGGTGGCCGGCCATAAATTTGCTGCATTCTCTAAAGTCAGCAGGAGCCACTGGTGTGTGTCTCCCCGAGGAAACCACCTCACAGCCAAAACAATGAGTCTGGCCTGATATTGCGTGCAGGCGTATGTAACTGAAGGCTTGGGAATATGCAATATTAATTAGAAAGTAATAACGTGAGCTTAATCACTTGATAGCATTAACCATTTAGACCCATCTGACTGTCTGTTCTTTTTCTAATATTTCCCATATGATGTTTAACAGAACAAGATTTTTTCACAGTATTTTCTATAATTTTTTTTTCTGTAGAAAGTCTTATTTGTTTTATTTCGGCTAGAATAAAAACAGTTGAAATTTTTTTAAAACCATTTTAAATGCAATGAATTTTAAATGTCATTTTAAGCTGAATACTTGTGTCTTGACAAATATCTTGTCAAAAATGATGTGCTGTCATCATGGCAAAGATAAATGAACTCAGTTATTAAAAATGAATCATTAAAATTGTTATGTTTAAAAATGTGTTGAAGGAATCTTTGTGGAAAAAAATCTACAGGGGCGGTAATATTTCTGACTTCACCTGTATACTGTACAGTGAATAACCGTAAATTGACTTTTCCAGAAATCCCTGCATGACAATTCACCTTATATTCTTTTTTGTTGACATTACTTCGTTCTTTTAGTTAATTTTTTTTTCTGAAAAGTGCTTAGATTTTGGATAGAGTGATCGAAAATGTAATTGCATTCACAATACTTTATCTTTAAAAATAAAATAATAATAAAAAATAGAATAAAAATAAAATAACAATAACAATAAAACACAATAGAATAAAAATAAAGTAAAATAGAACAAAACATAAAATAAAATAATGAAAGAAAATAACAATAAAAAAATTAAAATAAAAAAAGAAAAGAAAAAAGAAAAGAAAAGAAAATAGAACAAAATAAAATTAAATTAAAACTAAAAAAATAGAATCAAATAAAAAACAAAAATACAAATAGACTAAAATGAAAATAAAATAAAAAATAAAATAAAATAAAAATTAAATAATAAAAAAATAATTGACCAAAATAAAAATACTAATAAAAATGAATAAAATAAAAATAAAATAGATTAAATATAGTATACAAAATTAATAAAATAAATAAATAAATAAAAAATATAAATTTTATTCTAAAATATGAACTTCCATAGCATTTAATATTCCTGCTATGAAAATAAGTGATTAAAGTTTTCAACAGTACAGTAAACTTACATTTTTAGGTAAACAACACCTTAAAGCATGTTCATTTGTAGTGCTCTTGCATTTCTGTAGTGATGTATGCTGTTGTGATATTTTTCATGGCCTTGTTTCATGGCCTGTTCTTCAGCCTTGTACTCTTGAGTTTTTTGTGTGTTTTTTCAAGAGTTTCCTTGGTACTCTCAAGGAGATTAAGAAGAAAGGTTTGTTCTGCGATCGCTTTGTGCTTGCCCCTGCCAATATAATCCCAAAACCCCGCAAAGCTGCTTAGCTACACGTCAAACACAACAGATGTAAGCATACAAATACATCAGAGGTGAACTGAACGGAACATGAGTCAGCATCCCTCTTATTTAAATGGGCCATGTTCTGTTTTTCCTCCTTGAGTCCACTTATAATGTAAATGGAGTTCTTTCGTAACTGTTCATTACGCTTTATCAAAGACGGTTTTTATTGTTGTACCTTGACGGCTTTATACTAATAAGTTGTGTCATGTTTGGGTTGCATTTATTTATAGTTTATTGAAATTTTGTGAGGCGACATCTATCTGTCCGTCTGTCCGTCCATCCATCCATCTGTCTGTCTGTCTGTCTGTCCGTCCGTCCATCCATCCATCCATCCATCCATCCATCCATCCATCCATGTCTGTCTGTCTGTCCGCCTGTCCGTCCGTCCAAGCCAGGTTTCAAATGCCTTTTGTGTTTGGTTTAAGTGTAAGTCCAATTATCTCACAATCCACTAATGCGTCTGATTTGTATTTTTCCTGGTCAGTTTGGCCTGTTTGCGCCACAAGCACTGGGCAGGGCTGTCCACGCCGCATCTGAAGGCCCGGGCCTCAGCAAGGCAGAGTTCATGGAGAAGGTGCGGCAGAGCAATGAGGCCTGCCAGCTGGGAGACTTCCAGACAGCCGTCAAGCTGTATGGCGAAGCACTGCGCGCCGACCCGCAGAACTGCATCCTGTACAGCAACCGCTCGGCCGCCCACCTCAAACTGGGCCAGTACCAGACCGCCCTGGACGACGCTGTCAAAGCCCGCCTGCTCAACCCTAAATGGCCGAAGGTAAGTTTGCGGGTGTGGCTGCATTTCATTGGTTGCAGGTTTACAGAAGACGTCCCTCAAAGCTCAGTTTTTACATTCTGCAGTCTTGTGTTCCAGTTCAAATGTCTACACATTAAAATCAGGATATATTTATTTGAGACTGAGGAAAAGATACACTGCAAAAAAACGCTTCAATACTTGTCTTGTTTTTAGTCCAAATATCTACAAATTAAATCAAGAAACATTTTGTAGACGAGCAAATAAAACTAATTTTCAGAAATAATGAGTAAAAATTAAGCTCTTTAATAATTCTTTTATTAATTTAGCTTAGTCTTTTATATATCAGGGGTCGCCACAGCGAAATGAACCGCCAACTATTCCAGTAGCCTATAGGTTTTATGCTGCAGATTCCCTTCCAGCCACAACCTAGTTCTGGGAAACCATACACACACTCATTCACATACACTCATGCACGACAGCCATTTTAGTTCATTCAATTGGACTGTAGGGGAAACTGGAGCACCTGGAGGAAACCCACACCAACACGGGGAGAACATGCAAACTCCACATAGAAGTGCCAACTGCCAACTTGCTAACCACTGAGCCACCGTGCCACCTTGATTTTCTTTTGACATAACATTACTTTGCTTACCCCTTTGGCAGATTTAAGCAAAAACTCGCTCAAATTTGGCACATATATATTTTTTAAATTTCCTAAGACAATATCGTTTGCCTGTCTAGAAAATGCTTCTTGATGTAATATTTAAATTTAAATATTTGGACAAGAAACAATTAAAAAAATTTAAGTAAAAAAAGCATTTTTTTTTGCAAAATAATAAGTGCATCTTGTTTTATGCTTGAATTAGGTTTATTTTTTAGCCTCCTTTACTTCTTGTTGGAAGCTTGATTTTGCATAATTGATTTTGATCAATTATAGCTTGATTTTGCAACAATGATTTTGCACACACAAACACACACACACACACACACACACACACACACACACACACACACACACACACACACACACACACACACACACACACACACACACACACACACACACACACACACACACACACACACACACACACACATCCATCCATACATCTATCCATCCTCCATCCATTCATCCATCCATCCTTCCATCTACCCAAACATACATCCATATATTTAAACATCCATCCATCCATCCATCCATCCATCCATCCATCCGTCCATCAATCCATCCATCCATCCATCCATCCATCCATCCATCCATCACCCAAACATACATTTATATATATATATATATACATACACACACTCATTCATCCATCCATCCATCCATCCACTCATCCATCCATCCATCTATATAAACATCCGTCCATTTGTCCATTCGTCCATCCATCTATCCATCCATCCATCCATCACCCAAACATACATTTATATATATATATATATATACATACACACACTCATTCATCCATCCATCCATCCACTCATCCATCCATCCATCTATATAAACATCCGTCCATTTGTCCATTCGTCCATCCATCTATCCATCCATCCATCCATCACCCAAACATACATTTATATATATATATATACACATACACACACACATCCATCCATCTATCCATCCATCCATCCATCCATCCATCCACCCACCCAAACATACACCCATACATATAAACATCCATCCATACATCCATCCATACGCATACATATATACATACATGCATAAATACATTACAACATCAACATTATGTGTCAAATAACAGTCTAATGTACATAAATGCTGAGAGAAAAAAAAACATAAAATGTGTCATGCAGGGAATTCAGGGAAAGTGAATTCACGGCTGTTTGTTTATATTAAATAATAAACACTTCTATAATAATGAAACTTACTGTTAACCAGAATATGGATTTTTACTGTAGTATTATGGATGTAATTTTGTTTTACCATTGGAATTGCTGATAATTTTTTACTGTGTAATTGTTGATAAACTGGCCCGGCTGGTTAACTGGCTGATATCTGACCGTGTTGAGATTACCAGCATTGGTGGGAACCTCACTGCTTTCCTTTCTTCTCGTATCAATGAATCATTAACATTTTCTGTGATACTTTTGCAGACTTGAGAGCAATTAGTGAACATATTATTTGTCATAATTGACATCGATATCTGTTAAAACCCCCTTTTATTAACGGCAGTCTTACCGCTACAAGGATTAAGCGTTAATCATGATTAATTATAGAACGGATTGCATTAGTTGGACTCATTTTCTGAGATATTTCTGACATATTTCCATGTGCTTACTAGGTGTGTTGAGCTGCTGTTCGGGGGATTTTTATTATTATTAGCTTCTGCAGTCATTGCTAATTAACAATAAACTATCCTGGTTTGGTTATTGGACTCTTGAGGTTATCAGTGGACAGAATATTACTGTCTTAGTTTCTACTTTTGTCAATGAATTATTAACATTTCTGTTATTTTTTGTGTCTTTTATCTTGTTACTCAAGTGTATGATTCATTTGAACTTGTCATCCTGCTGCTACTAGCATTATGTGTTATGCTAACTTAATCATTAAGCAAATGTCATAAGTTAGATTGGTTTGTGAATTAGTTTTGTATGTCTGTTATTATTTTCTAGCTCTGTCATGAATTGTTTGTACTCCTGAAGAGGTTACATACGAAATGTTTGTTAAATGCTTAGGCATGACAAGCTGTTAGCATTAGCATTAGTGAGAATCTCACAGCTTTCCTTTCTTCTTGTGCCAACAAATTATTAACACTTTCTGCTATCCTTTAGTTAACTTGAGTGCAATTAACGGTGCTATTATTTATCATAATTGACATCAATATCTGCCTAAAGCCCTTTTTTGTTTGACTGCAAGTCTTACGGTAGTCTCAGATTAAGCATTTTGTTTGATTAATTACTAAAAGGATTTGATTTGCAGGATTTTTGTCTGGCAAATGTCCATATGTCTCATATTTGAAGAAAGCTGGAAATCAGTATTTGTTTTTATTCCTACGGAAGTCAGCGCTCAGCTTTCGTCAAGATATCTTCTTCAGTGTTCAACAGGACAAATAAACTCATAACCCTGCTAAAATCCAGCTTAAACCAACCTAGGCTCTTTTGGTCGACCAGGTTGGTTTTAGAGGGGTTTTGCCACTTCCAGGCTGGTTTCCAGCCATTTCCAGCCTGGTCTTTGCTGGTCAGGCTGGAAAATGACCAGCTAAATCCAGCTAAAACCAGCTTGACCAGCCTGGTTTAAGCTGGACATAGCTGGTTTTGGCTGGGCTCCCAGCCTGCTAGGCTGGTCAAGCTGGTTAAAGCTGGTCATCTCCCAGCCTAACCAGCTAAGACCAGGCTGCAAATGGCTGGAAACCAGCCTGGAAGTGGCCAAAACCCCTCTAAAACCAGCCTGGTTGACCAGCTAAAACCAGCCAACCAGCCTAGGCTGGTTTAAGCTGGATTTTTCAGCAGGGAAGGGTTTGCAACCACTTAAGGTTACATTTTTTTGGGTGAACTATCCCTTTAACAGCTCTAGTCCTAAGTATTTTGTAATCACCCAAACATGCTGGCTTTACTATGAAGGATATTGCAATGAGCTTTTCTTCCTCATTCATAAAGCGTGGAAGCCTCAGCGCTCTGAGAGAGAGAGAAAAAAAGAAACGTTTTGAGTGGTACTTCGGTTTGGTCTCGCTCTGACCACACAATCCTCTCCTCCCCGGCCCAAAGCACATGTGGCAAAACCCAAACCCAGCAAGGAACGTCAACCTCGACATGCAGGGCTGCTCGTCTTCTGCTTTCTGACTTTTAATTTGCTGCACTGATCCAAAAAGGCGGGACTTTCTCCTTTGGCACACATTAAAGGGCAGAAACATGGGTTCCATTTTACCGAACCAAAATGTGTGAAATTGCTTTCTTTATGAGCAGCGGGCTCCTCTAAGAGGCGGCGGGGAGTGTTTTAACTAACCCACGCCGCAAGTGCAGCACTTGGTACCGCGCTCCGACATCTAGCTGGGGAGGTTTTGTGGGAACGAGCGGACAGTATCAGAGAAGCCGAGCTTCCTTTTGGAACAGAATAGCAGGAAGTAGTGGGTGTGGAGCCGAGCTGCTGTTTTGTTGTGGAAATCCTGGACGGGTTCAACTGCAAACTTGCGCTACGAGGACAATAACTGCAATAACAGTAACATTCCTAACATTTACAGGCCTCTGAAACACTGTGGCTTTGCCCAGTTACACGTTTCTGCCAGAAGAAAGTATGAATAATATAAATAAACAGGGAAATATGAAGTTAGGACTTTCTCTTTATTGTTCAGGGGCCAACGTTTGCCTAATTAATTAATTAATACATTTACATTTAGTCATTTAGCATTTATCCAAAGCGACTTACAAATGAGGACAAGGAAGCAATTTACACAACTATAAAAGCAACAATGAATAAGTGCTGTAGGCAAATTTCAGGTATGTAAAGAAAGTGTAAGAAGCAAAACATTAGTAATTTTATTTATTTATTTTTTTTAAAAAAGTGGAGGGGTCAGAAAGGGAATTGCAGATTAGTAAGGAAAGTGGAGACTAAATAGTTGAGTTTTTAGTCGTTTCTTGAAGACAGCGAGTGACTCTGCTGTTCTGATGCAGTAATGGAGTTCATTTCACCAACTAGGCAGATTGAGCGCGAGAGTTCGGGAAAGTGATTTCTTCCCTCTTTGGGATGGAACCACGAGGCGACGTTCATTCACAGAACGCAAGTTTCTGGAGGGCACATAGATCTGCAGAAGTGAGAGCAGATAAGGGGCGCAGCCAGAAATCGCTTTGTAAGCAAACATCAGAGCTTTGAATTTGATGCGAGCAGCAACTGGCAGCCAGTGCAAACGGATGAGCAGCGGAGTGACATGTGCTCTTTTAGGTTCATTAAAGACCACTCGTGCTGCTGCGTTCTGAAGCAGCTGAAGAGGTTTGATAGAGTTAGCTGGGAGCCCGGCTAGTAGAGAGTTGCAATAGTCCAGTCTGGAGAGAACAAGAGCTTGAAC